ACACTTGCGCACGCAAGCGGGCGACACTTGAGCGCGTGAGCCAAAACCTAGGGTTACGCCAGGACGTCCTGTGCTGCCACTGCGCTCCACACGCGGCACTGCGGTGTCTCGCGCATCGGGGCTGCGGCGCTTACTGCGCCGCCATGACGCGCGAGGCCCAGCGCTTCGTCGTCGCCCGCAGCCGCAGTAGCGGCTAAACCGGCAAAGCAGCGCGGGATCAATGCGCACCCGAAGTTGCGACCCCGTAGCAAGTTATCGCGCGTGATGTTTGCCGCTACTTTGGCATTCGCACGCTCGTTTGTCAGGCCGCCTTCCAGACTGCCCTGCAATTTCTGTAGAGCCAGCCATTGCGCGCGCGCCCGCGCCCCACGGGCACTGCGCGCAACGTGCCACTTGCGGGTGCGGCCAGAGATGGCAAGCGCCTGATCGCATGCATCATCCGCGCTGTCAGTTGCTTGTGGCATGTAGGGTAGCGGCGATGGCGACCGTTGGAGGTAACCGTTGCGCTGTGCAACGTGGAAGAAACACTCCGTACCATACGAACATAGGGTGTGTGTGTGTGTGTGTGTGTGTGTGAGATTGTTTCTCTATGACGCACCCTGCTGTGTGCGGGCGTTTTGTACAATCATATTCTTTGCTAGCTGAAGTGCCGTATCTCCGTGCCTGCCCACTTCCACCTCCGTCCACATCCCCCGAGTCAATCCTGTAGGGGCGCGGCGGGTCAAATCGCCGCGTGCAGTGGCGCTCGCAGTGGCAAGCGGGTCGTTCCGGCCGTCACACGTGATCGTCTGCATCGACTTGGCCATCGTCGTCAGCAGTTGGGCCTGCGCCGCCGTCTGCGTCGAAGCGTCGATCACCTCTGCGAGTTCTACGGGAATTCGCTCGAAGGCACCTTGTTCTTGGCGTTTTTTTCGCCGATCTTTTCATGTGGGTGTGCTCCGCCCGCGGCGCCGCGGCCTGCTCCATGATGGCCTACGGGATTTTGCCCGCTTTTGGAGAGTTCATCGCCATCTCTTGGCCAGGGTGCGCGTGGCCAAAAACTTCTGCTCGCAATCCTTCCTTTTCGGACTGGTTGTCCTCCTTCTTCTCCGCCTTCTCGCGCGCCTTGTGGTTCTTCTCTGGCTCGATAGGCACGCGCGCAGCCTCGGGTGCACTTTCGCACCATGAGCTGCTGTCCGAACTGATGCTGCTGCTGCTGATTTCTATATTTGTTTTGTTTGTGTTGATTGGGGTGATCGGCGCATCGTTTTTGCGCTTGCCCACGTCCGCGTCCTTGCCCGTGTCTTGTGGCCTTGCCGCCGCTTGCGCCGCCGAGTCGCGATCCTTCCGTGATGTGTCCTTGTCCTTGCACGCGCCTTAGGGCATGTCTTTGTCCGTGTCAGCGTGCGCGCCTTTGTCTTTGTCTTTGCGCGCGCCGTTGTCTATGCCATTGTCCTTGTTTTTGCGCGAGCCGCTGACCTTGACTAGACTTTTGACCTTGGTCGTGTCCTTCTCCTTGGTAAATTTCTTGTCCGTGCCCTGGGCCGTGTCCATGCGCTTGCCGTTGTCCTTATCTTTGGTCGTGTGCTCCGCCTTGTTAGCATCATTGTGCTTGCCCTTGCCATTTTCCTTGCGCTTGGCATGTCTCCTTATCCTTGATCGTGTCCTTCCCAGTGGCTTTCTGCGTGTCCCTGCCCTCTTTTTGGTACTTGCCGCTGTCAGTGTCCCTGGCTTTGTCCTTGCCGTTGTCTGCGTCGCTGCCGTCGTCGCTGATTGCCGCGGTGACCGTGCGACCCGTTGCCGTCCCCCGTGCTGTCATTGCCGCTGTCGCGATCCGTGCTTCCGTCGTGCTCCGTGGTTCCGTCGTGCTCCTCGCCGTCGTCACTCGTAATCCCATCTTCGGACTCCGCCTCCTGCGTGGGCGAACTGGCAGGATGCTCCCCCTCCTCTGGTTCTTCGGCGACGCTCGCAGCCGTGACTTGTGGCTTCTCCGTGAGACCGTCGCGCTCACGCTTGTTCTCTTTGGTTCGACGTCTGGTGTTGGCCTCCCACGTCTCGATCTCGTGAGCATCCACCTTGTAGCACACCCACATCACTGGATGATCGAGCGCGTCGATGCAATCACGCCTGATGCTCTTCCATGGGAAGCCCTGCCGCCCAGACCCAGACCTACCCCCCCTCCCCCGCCCATCGGCCAAATGTCGAAAGCCAGGGTAAGAAAACGCTTACCTGTCGGATCTTGGATCTTGTCGGTGCCGATCTTGGTCATGGTCATTTCAGCCATCGCCGATTCGCGAGGATGATCCACGAAATGATGCTGATCAAGATTCACGGTGAGCAAGATCGACACCACGGTTCCGCGTGCAGTCTGGGTCATGGTTCCTTTTTTATATTTCCCCTCCATCGTTGGCCCTGGAAGTGGCAGTTATTTTTCGTTCCCTCAACCATCCTGTGGTGTTGGGTTCTCACTTTGAAGAGGCAGCGCCCCGCGTTTCCTTTCCTCCCGCTGCCCCCTTACTCCCTTCTCCCACCCCTGCCTCTGCCCTCCCCATGTCAACCATTGCGCTACACCCGTCGTATACTGGTCGACCCTTGCGGCCGGCTGAGCATACCCTATGGTGACTGCTTCGCGGGCGTTCTGGGAACAGCTGAAATTTACCAGGTCAGCGCCAGGACCAGGAGGAGGAGAAGGAGGAGGGGTTTTCTGGGGACCCCCTCTCCGCTTTGGTGGCGTGTACGCCATGCAGACCCTGGCACTGGGGCCCTCGATGGGGACCACTATGCGAACACGAAGCGTGTGAGGGGCGTGCCGAATGGGCAGCGGGTGCGCTGTGCGAGCCCTGCTACTGGGACGTACGGTGGAGCGCCCCATGCCCTACGAGGCCACGACACGTGCGGGGCGTGCTGAAAGGAGGCGGCGTCCGCATGCGGACTCTCTGGCATTTGAGGCTCAGTTGGAGCCCCCTTATGGGGCCACGAAACGCGTGAAGGGTTGGCCGAAATGAGGCGGCGACGCTATGCGGACCCTGGCATTTGGGCCTCAGTTGAAGCTCCCCATGAGGCCATGCGGCGTGGGAGGAGTGTGCCGAATTGAGGCAGCTGGGCATTAGTTGGAAATCCACATGGGGCCACGGAGCATCGGAAAGGTGTGCTGAAATAGGCATGCGGAGGGCAGAGGCAGAAACGAGGGAGGAGGGAGAGGGGGCGGGAGTGAGTGTATGAGGTGAGACGTGGGCGCTGTTTTTTCAAAACGAAGGCCCAACGCCACAGGATGATTCGGACAAACAGATGGGCACGCCCCTCTGTTGCGCGCTCGGAGACGCAGCTCTGAAGCCCACAGCCAACTCCTCAGACCCAGGTCGGGGGACCTCTTCGAAGCCACGGCTCGTCGTGGTCAGAGATCGCCTCATTAGTTCGACACTCAGCGCTCCTCGGGGCAGCACGATGACTGTATGAGCGCGATCTGAGGATCCTCTGAGGCGCCGACCCCCCCCCATGTGGTTGCCAAGAACAAGGACACCCGCTGGACACGCCTACCTCTTGTGGCGCGCTCGGAGAAGCAGTCCTGGAGCCTACAGCCACAGTTCTGAAATGAGGCACCCCCTTGGGTTCAGGAGGGCCTCTGCTGTTCGGCACGTTCCTCAGATCCAGGGTCGGGAGATGTTTCGGTGGCCGGAGTTCCCCCGAGGCCAGAACGTTCGGTGTTCTTGGTGGTGGCACGATCGCTGTAGGAGAGCCTGCTGGGGATCCTTCCGGCTTTCGGGTCGTAGCTCGGCTCTCCAGCGGCCCTTCGAGACGATCCGGGCATCCCCAGAACGCCCTCGACAAGACCGCCGAGAACCCAGGGAACGCTCAGAAACCTGGAACCTCTCCTCCCACGCTCCTCTCTGACGGGGCAGGCCCCCCTCTATGGCGCGCTCAGAGAAGCAGCTCTGGAGCCCACGAGCGTGTCGTGGGAAGATGGGATAGGGCTCGATGTATACACCACGCCGTTTGGTCGGCCAAGGAGCTCGGTGTTCAGACGCGGTAGACGCCCCAGCGGCCCAGTCAATGGGACGCTCGAGCGGGTATATAGTCGACCTGCGTAATAAGCATGAGAATTGCATGAGCGATTTTCCTAGTTTGCTCTTGCAACCTCGCCCCTTCGGCCAATCCTTGGCCCATTCTGCTGGCAGCGCCCCGCTCGCAGACTGTCGACATGGCCTTCCAAGGCCCTCGCATCCTCATCGTGCGTCCTCACTGGAGACGGGTTGACCGTACACGCCGAACTCGTCCGCCGAGCTCCTTGCCTCCCTTCCCGACCAGACTAGGGAAGGGCCCGGGGGGAAGTGAGAAGGGGCGGGCCTTCTCAGAGAAGGCTTGCAAGTCCCCCGGCCTTCGAGACGTTTTCTGAGCCTTCCCCAAAGGCACAGAAGAACAACCTTTTAGAAGGCCGGATGGCTTCTGAGAGGTTCCGCCGACTTCTGAGGAGGCCTTCTCCTCCTCGCTTCCCCCCTCGCTCGCCGCCGACATAGGCATACGCTCCGAACTGACACAAAGGAGTCGCGATGAGGACGCAGGCGCCCCGGGCGCGCACGTCGAGGCCCTCAGGACGACGATGGACAGGGTGCCGACAGACTCTAGACCTCCTAGATGGGGTCCGAGTAGATGGGGTCGGAGGATCGCGCCGCATCGCGGATGCATCGGCGATGCATCGGCGATGCGGCTCGACGCGGGGCCAACTTTTCTCCACGCCGACGTCGCGGATGTACCGCCGATGCATCGCCGAGGCGGCGAGATCCTCCGACCCCATCCACTCGGACCCCATCTAGGAGGCCTGGAGTCGGACCCCATCCACTCGGACCCCATCTACTCCGACCCCATCTACTCGGACCCCCTCTACTCGGACCCCATCTACTCGGACCCCATCTACTCCGACCCCATCTACTCGGACCCCATCCACTCGGACCCCATCCAGGAGGCCTCTGCAGACGACGTTGGCCCCCCCCCCCCCCCCCCCTCCGGGCCGCCGCCCGCCCCAGGGGGGCCTGAAGCTCTCCGAGCTCGAGGCCCGCGCCCTGAGCGCCGCCTCCGAGCTCGCCGACGGCGCGCGCCAGGCCGCCGAGACGGGGGGCCGCCGCGTAGCCCCGCCGCTGGGGGGGCCCATCTCGGGGGAGGGGGAGGAGGGGGAGGAGGGGGAGGAGGAGGAGGGAGGAGGAGGAGGAGGAGGAGGAGAGGAGGAGATGAGGAGGGAGGAGGCGGAGGAGGGAGGGAGGAGGAGGAGGAGGAGGAGGAGGAGGAGGAGGAGGAGGAGGAGGAGGAGGAGGAGGAGGAGGAGGAGGAGGAGGAGGAGGAGAGGAGGAGGAGGTAGGAGGAGGAGGGAGGAGGAGGAGGAGGAGGAGGAGGAGGAGGAGGAGGAGGAGGAGGAAGGAGGAGGAGGAGGAGGGAGGAGGAGGAGGAGGAGGAGGAGGAGGAGGAGGGAGGAGGAGGGAGGAGGAGGAGGAGGAGAGGAGATGAGAGGAGGTGGAGGAGGAGGAGAGGAGGAGGAGGAGGAGGAGAGGAGGAGGAGGAGGAGGAGGAGGAGGAGGAGGAGGAGGAGGAGGAGGAGGAGGAGGAGGAGGAGGAGGAGGAGGAGGAGGAGGAGGAGGAGGAGGAAGACTCCTGCCTGGGGCCGCCCCCGCCTGGGGCCACCGCGAGGCTGCGAGGGCCCGTCGCGCTATGCCCGCGCCTCGCGGCCCGGGGGGGCGACCTCGCGAGCCGAGGCGCGAGGCCCTCGTTTACCAGCCTGGAACATATCCCTATCCCTATGCTGGGCATCTCCTCATCATGATGCCAATCTTAGGGATTCCCTTATTTTTTGAGGGCGCATCCCTAAGATTGTCATCGCCTTTTGGCGTGTCAATCTTAGGGATAGGGATAAGTTCGAGGCTGGTAACTCGTCTCTTGCTCCGGGCGGGGTGGCGGCACGGAGGCGCCGCGAAGAGCGTCGCGCGGCGGGCTTCTCGCGGAGTGCGGGGCGCGCGGGGGCAGTTGCCCAGGGGGCTCGGCAAGGCTCGGACGTGTGCGTTCTTGTTCTCGGCGAGGGCCGTCGAGGAGCATTTTGTACCATCCGGAGGAACAATACACGCACGAGGCCGAACAACTCTGGGCCTCCTAGATGGGGTCCTAGCGGATGGGGTCGGAGGATCGCGCCGCATCGCCGATGCATCATCGGCGATGCGGCTCGATACGGAGACAGTGTTTCCCCGCGCCTGCGTCGCGGATGCACCGCCGACATCGGCGATGCATCGGCGATGTACTGGCGATGCGGCGCGATCCTCCGACCCCCTCTGCTCGGACCCCATCCAAAAGGCCTCTTATCCGAGGGCCCAGCAGGAGCTGGCCCGTAGAACTGCTCGGCCCCGGCCTCCGCCCGCGCCGCCCGCGCCCCCTCCCGCGCCAGGCGCCGCCATCTACGACTCGGACTCCTCCCCCCTGTGGGAGGCCTCTGGACAATGCATGGGGAACAGACGTCCGAGCGATGGCCGGGGGAAGCCTCGCGAGGGCCCTCGGGAAGCCCTCCGGGCGGCCTCGCGGGCTCGCCCTCCGGGAAAGCTCGCCGCGGGAGGGGGGCCTCTGGTCGCACGGCAGAGGGAAACAATTAAGGGGCACTCCCCCTTCCTCGTTCCTCCCTCCTCCCTCCCCCCCTCTCTCCTCTTCTTCTTCTTCCTCCTCCTCTTCTCCCTCCTCCTCCTCCGCCTTCCGTGCGGTCGAAGTGCAACTCATCAGACCCACCGCCAGCTTTGGACATCGGGGGGAGGGGGAGCTGTTGGCCGATCAATTTGGCATGCGTGTTCGCTCTTTTTTTTGTCCGAGGCCTGTACTGTCTGCCCCCGGGAGCCGTGCCAGGGCCCTGATTCTTCGTGGGACGACCAGGGTGAAGCCAGGCCTGCCCCTCTGCAGGAGGAATATTAAAGATACTCAAAAACAATATGGGGGCAATTTTTCTGACATTCGTCGTCGTCTGTCGTCTATCGCCGTCGCAAATCGTCTGTCGTCTGTCGTCGTTGCCGTAGTCCATCTTCGTATGTACCCGTCTGTCGTGAATCGTCGTCGTCATCTGTCGTCTGTCCTTCGTCGTCGGTCGTCTGTCGCCGTCATCGTCAACGTCGGCGTCGTCGTCGTCGTCTGACGCGTCGTCTGTCGTCGTCCTTTTATGTGTATCGTCGCCTGTGATCCCCGTTCTCATCCTCCTCTGTTTGGGTATAATATCTCCCTCTTTCTTCTTGTCTTCCTTCTAGCCCCCTCCTTGTCCTCCTCCGAATGGGCCTAGGGAGTCTCAAGTAGCGTCGCTGCGGACTTGGATCAGCCCCCCTAAGCGCCTTTGATGGTTGTGACCTTGTCCTAATCGTACTCCTCCTTGCCCCTCCTGGCGGCGTGCATCTTATCCTGCGATTCGGCCCCTGGAAGGGGGCTTGGCGGATACCGTCTTGAAGCCCCCCGTGAGACACCAAGGTATGATTACATCAAGACATCAACACACCAATACATGAACGCATCACGGCATCAATACACATAACCTGCTGTAGCAAGAAGACAATGCATCAAGGCGTCACTCCATCAATAGACCAATGACTC